GCGGCGGATGGCGACCCGCGGGGGGCCCGGGCCGCCCCGATCCTGCAGCGCGACGGAGCCGTGAGGTGCCGGGGCGGAGGGGGGACAGCCCGGATGGGTTTCAGGACGAGGGGGAAGACGTGGCTGGACCGACCATTTCGTGGCCTGAAAATATTCGTTTTTGTGGACGTGGCGTAGCGGGGAGCGCGGGAGCGCAAGCGATGCCGCTCTGTGCTCAGCGTAACAGCAAAGCGGGCGAAGAAGCCTCTCCAGGGTCACTGCGAAGCCGCGTGCTGCTGGCTCTGACCCCGTTTGGGGCTGCAGAACCCAGGCCACGGCGGGTGGAAGGGGACGGCCACCAACACGTGGGAGCTGAGGACAAAGAAGGGGCGGGAGAGGGAGGAACGCGGGATGGAGGGAGTTTGGGCACCCGTTCCTGCAAAGTCTGTTCAGTCACTGTTTCCCCTTTGGCTTCTGTATAAAACTAATCTTACGTTTTAATAAAGTTCTCAATAAAGCTGTTTTGCCGACTTTTATTCTCCGTAAACCCTACGGGTGTCATTTGCAACATCATGCAACCCTCGAGTCTGGAACATGGGTACCTAGCAGACCCCTTCTACTGTTCCTGCTTGGATGTAGAGAAGCAGAGCGTTTTCAAAGCACGTGTTAGCGGCTAAACAACCACTTGTGCCGAACCCACGCTGGTGGTGAAAGATGTGAGGCCAGAGAGGTTCAGGAATGAGGTTCAGGAATGTTTACCTTGGGGCTGGGGGTGTGGGCATGAGGTACAGAAAAACCAAACCCCCACTGAAGCCACAGGGGTTATTAAATTTATTAACAGTAATGAAACAAGCTGTAGATGAGAGCCAGCAAAAACTAGGGGTGCTGGTAAGGCTGAGCGCTTAGGCCTGGTTTAATGTACTAGCGGTCCCTCCTCACGTGGTGGCAGCAAAGACCCGTGTAAGGAAAAATTAAATGCTGAAAATGGCTCTGAAGAGGAGATTCCGAGCAAGGTTAGTGGGTGTTGAGTGTCACTACGTCCTTGCAGTTGGCTCCCAGCAGGCAGATGAAGCTAAAGCCCTTCCAGGGTGACATTTAGACCTTGCCTTAAGGGGAAGGGTGTCGGTTTCTCCTGGCAGCTTGCACGAGGTTGACAAGGCCAGTGCCCGATGATCACCCACCTGACTGTGTCCCAGGGCTGGCTATTGCCTTGGGGAACCGTTGGGAAGAGGGATGGGGCGGCCTCGTTCCGGGAACTGCAGCTTCCCGCAGGATACGCCTGGTGCTGCCTGTGACAGACCCCGTGCAGGAGAGCAGCTCGTTCCCGCAGAAAACCTTCTTCAACCCACAACCTCATGGTTGGAAGAGCTGCTGCTTCCGAGGAGGAAGGGCCGCGTTCTGCATGGATCAGGATCCCCATCTGCTCCCGCATTGCCCTTCCCGCAGGGCTCCTGCAGGGACCCGTTCCCGCATGCCGCCCGTTTCCATGTGAGGACCCGTTTCCACGCAGGGACCTGTTCCCGCTCGTTTCCATGTGAGGACCCGTTTCCACGCAGGGACCTGTTCCCGCTCGTTTCCATGTGAGGACCTGTTCCCGTGTGCCACCCGTTTCCACGGAGGGACCCCTTCCTGCCCGTTTCCATGCGGGGACCTGTTCCCGCACGCTGCTCTTTTCCACGCATCCCCCAGAGCAAAGCGCAGCCGAGTCCCCACGTGGCTAGAGCAGCCGCTTCGCTGGCAGCGGGAAGGGAGCCCTCCCCTCACTGCCCCTCTGGGGAGGTTTAACGGAACGGGGGGATCCGGGATCCCCGCGGCGTGAGGAGGCCGCCCAGCGCCTCCTCCAGGGCAGGTTTGTGCCCGGCAGAGCAGCGGGAAGCGCGCGGGAAGCTCCGCTCCGCTCGGCCCGGTCGTCCCGGAGCCTGTGGGGACCACAGCGCCGCTGCAGAGGCGCTCAGCAAACATTAAGGAATTCGGAATAAGCTGCAATGCGTTAGATGATTGCTTCTCAGTTAAATCCTGGAAACTGCAGTAACGGAGAACCAACGCCTTTATCAAACAGATAAACAGTTAGGAATTCTCTGTACAACAGGAATGTTCTCGGGAGCTCACTCGAACAGACACCTAAGCTCTGCGCGGGAAAGGGGAACTCTCCACGGAGGCGGGTTTGTGACAACACGAGGGACTCCGCGCACACGCAAGCGACGACAGGAACGCTTCCCTTGGGAACGCGGCTCCGCGGCGCGCCCAGGGCTCGGCTCCGCGCGGAGGAGCCCGGCACGCGGGAACTCGGGCTGCGTCCCTGCCTCCTCCAGCGCTGCGTTAACGTCAATGGGCCCCGCGCTGCTCCGTGCCCGGCGCCATCCCCGTGGCACCGCGGGGAAACTCCGGCTGGGCCCAATGAGCGCGGGTGGCCCCGGAGCAGCGTTGGCAGCCGGCGAGGCCCGAGCCCCCGCGCAGCTCCTGGGCCTCTACGGCGAGAGGCACCGGGAGCAGCGAGCGGCGCTGCGGGGGAGGCCGCGTTCCCGGGGCAGCTGCTCGGGGCGCGGCCGCCCTCCGAGAGCTGTTTCTGCTGCTGCTCCCATTGCACACGTCCCAGCTCACCTTTGATGCAGATACAGACACAACAGGCAGACATGCACACACCGTCCACGAGGAGCGCGCGGCACACGAACACTTGGCATGAGTCTCTGTACAAATGCACCGAGCACATTAGGATCTGCAGCAGCCCGAGCCTCTTACTTCCTTCTTCACATAGTCATGGAGCTTGAATTTGGGCTCGTTGGGCAGCTTCATGGCCCTGTGCTTCAGTTCCCTGCGGGAAGCGGGGACAGAGGTTATTTCTGTGCCCAAGAGCGGGGCCCGCAGCGCGAGGAGCGGAACCTGGAGCAGCCACCAGCGCCACCCGCTTCCAAACCGCCCGGAGCGTCGCGAATTTTGGCTCGCGACTCCCCCTGCGTCGGGCAGGGGGACGTCACTTACTTGGCAATGGCTGTGAAGGCTAATTCAACGTTTAAGCCACTTTTTGCGCTGGTCTCCATAAAGGGCACCCCGTACTCCTGCAGGACGAGACACAGGGGACAGCAGAGTGTCACTAGGGCTGTCCCCAGGCACGCGAGCCCCCGGCCCCGTGCAGAGCCCCAGCTGCCGGGGAGAGCAGAGCTCTTGCTGTGGTGGGTAGTACAAAAACAACAGGCAGGTGCACGGATGCACGTGCTCCCTCACGTACCTTGGCTAATTTTTCTCCGTCTTCCCTTTTCACCACTCTGTCCTGGGCGGAATCCACCTACCGACAGCAACAACAAACCAATTTCCAGTTACCTGGAAAGGCAGCGCTCAGCGTCCCCCCATGTCCCCTCCTTGCACCCCCCCTTGCTCCCCAGCACAAACATCACATCATTTTCAGCAGGGATTAATCCTTGCTCCCATCCCCAGGCCCCCAGGCGCATCCTGGAGGGGCTGCCCAGGGCTGGGGCTGCGCAGGGCTCCTCTCGCGCTGCCCTCGTCACCGCGGCC